GTCAGCTAGTCCCTCTATTCCTAATCAACGTGAGGCTCTATTAACTGCTGTCAAAGAAGCTGTTCAAACTGATCCCAACAGTTTACATACATTTGCTAATGTATTGTGTACAATAAGTACTAATGTATCACTAGGACAAAGTATACTGGATGATATTAGTGAGTAATCACTGGTCACTTTAATTATATTCATAATTCATAGTTTCCGTGGGTGGGTTAGTTATTGCGAAGCCCACTGATGTGACATTTGATGTGTCGTAATTGAAACTACATGTACATTCACATGTATGCTGTTCAGTATATCCTATGCTAATGACAATTGTTTATATATTACCTATGTGTTTAGGTGAGTTTTTTTCTACTCCTGAAGTGGCTATGGTTCCTGAGACTATTAAAGATGATCGTAATGCAGTTTCTCCAAGTAATTATAACTATTAATAGATGATATGCATTCATCAATATTTATAGATAATGCAAGTACTGATGAAACCAAGATACCAACTAATCCACAATCTGGTACATTTGTACATGTTTGTCATTATACATGAGATTGTACTTTTAATTTACAGACACATCTTCTGATGCAAAAGCTGCCTCTTCCCAATCCCAAGCTTTATCACCTCAAGGTATATAAAACAATTTACAATGCATGTACTACTGAAGTAATAATATCTTTTTTAGTTAAAATACATGTTCCTGTTCCTAAAAACTTACTGACAAACTTTAGCTCAATGAGAATGTCTTATGGAAGGATGTTTTACAATGTTGGCAAGATTATTAAGCGAAAATCTCCTCCTTTAGAAGAAATAAAAGAATTTCTGTCTTGTTGTGGCACTATTCTTAGATGAAAAGCAGAGCAATGTACTAATATTTCTAGTCTGTTGCATCTTATTCAAAATGAGTGTTCACTGACTGATATTGAACTTCTTCATAGTGTAGTGGAAGAAATGGAGATTACTGAAGCTACAAGATACATTGAGGCATATAGAACAGATTTAGAGGAATTCTGTAATTTACTCTCCATCAGTCTTTGTTTAAAGGAAAGATTTGCTTCGATTTCTCATCTTCAATGTGAAACAGTTACTTTTATCTTTGATTGGGAGCCTGAGGAACATGTACTGAAGGATATTAAGGATATACTATCAAAAGTATCTGGTAAACTACTGGTCATTGAGTATATAGAAACCTCCACTTCAATATGTGTCACTTGCTCCTTTCCTTTCTCTGATGTTGGGTTTACTGTATTGAGGATGATAGAGAATATTCATATACTAATGGGACAAGGATTAAAGAAACTGATTATTGGTAACTTAACATTATGGAGAAGACAAGATGTTAGACAAAAGGTACATACATGTACATGCACTAATAGTTGATTATACTTTGTACAGGAACTAAAAGAAAAGAATCAAGATTCATTACAACATACAGATGTCAGTGTACATTTTAAAATCATAATTATGCCCATGCAATTTAAGACATAATTGTTTTTGCTTAAAGTTTTTGTGTATGTATTTTTAGGTTGTTTCTTATATTATACTTAAAGAAACTGAATATGAACTAAAGGATGCTATCAGTAGCAAAGAAAAGGTATGCAATACATATGCCTGACATTTGGATGTAATTAATTGATATACTTATAATAGGAAACAATTAAACTAAACCAAAAACTATCAATCATGAGAGTACTGGAGGTTAGCTATTATCGCACAATGCATTGTACTATAAAGTACTAAACTTAGTCAGAGTTTGAATTTCATTGCATATGTTTACTAACAATTCCATT